AAACGGTCTTCAAAAATAATGGTTATCCAAAAAATTTCATCAAAAAGTGTTTAAAGTCGAATCAGAGCAACAACAAAGAACCATCACCAAAGACCAAAAAGAAATTCATCCTACCATACATCAGAAATATCTCTGAAATAACGGCTAGAATAATGAAACCATTTGATATAGATGTAGCACACAAACCAGCCGAATCGCTTAATTCGACATTATGCAAACCAAAAGATCCAACAGAAAAAGGAGATAAAAATAGTACCATTTACAAAATAAATTGTGTGAACTGTAACAGGCATTATATCGGCCAAAGTGGGCGTCCCCTTCGAATAAGAATCCAGGAACACAAATCAGCCGTGAAAAGACATGATATATATTCTTTAGTATCAAGGCATACAGACAATTATGGACATCAATTTGATTGGGATAATGTCAAAATCTTAGACAGAGGAAACACTAAATGTGCCAGGGAATTCCTAGAAGCCTGGTACTCAAATGAAAATGCAATTAATAAACACGTTAATATAGATGAAATATATCAACTAATAAAAAGTAAATCAGGTGACCAGAAAGTTTAAAACCCCAATCAATAGAAGACGGTCAATACATATCTAAAGATGGTTACCGGGAGACGCAATTATATCACTCATGAAGAAATTTAAATCATTTCACTTTATCCTAAATACTGCGCTGAAAATGTCGTCCAGAAAGACGACGAAAGCTCCGCATCTAAACCTACAAGCTCAGAGAACACTATTGATTCCAAAACTTCTTATTCAGTTGGACTGTTGAGTTAACGCTCATTTTTCTGTGGCAGGAGGTCTTTTTATGCCTATTTTTATCAAAGCTAAAGCATCTGTGAATGCAATACAACATATACCATGGATCATGTGAGATAGTTATCAGTCTGACGAAAATTCATTACATGCAAATGTTTACAACTTTAAAACCGTGCACTTTTATTGTTTATTGTGGTGTTTTTTTTATTCCCTTACGTTACCAGTGGAACATAGGACTCCTTCAAGTTAGAGACTTGAAGTTTCGATAGCAAAGGTGTTTACTTTGACGTGATGGGGTTGCTAGTCTCATGCCTAACTTTCCGTCTTTACCAGTCTTATTAAGGGGTTAGTGAGTTAAAGGAGTGCGTTAGCCTGGGATCGAACTCAAAACCAAATGAGGTGTGGTTGGCTAACATTCTACCGCTGTGCGACTGAAGCCCAAGCTCTACACTAATGACTCTTTTTTCCCTGAGGAAAGGAAAAATTATTGTTAGGTGAATTAATTTTTATTCAAAACAGTAATCGTATTTCCAGTATGATAATTTCTTTTCTATGTGGTATTTTGTTTGTTATGTCTATTTTATGAGAGTCAAGTGATTTTGTTTATCTCAAAAACTAAAAGTTGTTCTACCTTAATCCACCAGAAACTTTCAACACGTTCACCTAGATCCAACAAAATAAAATCTAATCATTACCTCCCTGGTAGTTGTGAATTTATAATATTCTTAAATTAGTTCTTTATTAGGCTTCCTGTGCGAGTAGAATTTCTCTATAGTATTTACGATTGTCCATACATTGAACACACATAAATGCTTACATGCTAACTTATTGTCTAATAACTATTCATCGTGTTGAACTGAAAGGATAAAGACATGTTGATAATTTGTGTTGTTTGAATGTCTTATGTATTCAGATGAAGGATCTAAAGTGAAAGAGGATGGCCAAGTGAATACATTCGTTTTCTAGTTTGATTGCAATCTGATATCAGTTGTAGAGGCACTGAAAACCAGTGAGTAATGGACAGATGTTTCATTCTGGTTTGGTACTTTTCAAGAGTACTCACCTATAATCCCACAAGGGATCGAATCCAAGACATCTGAATTATAGCTGTACCATCAACTAGTACCACTGATCAGAATCGGCTTCACAGGTGACAGGTTGGACTCCACCAACTCCTAGTACCCTAACTGATGTCAGCACATGATAAAACTTGAAACAATTCAAAACTCCGCTAACCAACATAATTTTATTTAATGTGTCACTACTGACTGGTTCTGAAGAGGAGTGCAAGCATTCTCAATAAATTTATATATATATATAAGCAGACTGATGGTTTCACTTACAATAAAAGATCCCCACGTAATCTTCATATTTTACAAAACCTGTTATTTATGTTTCACATAAAGCTAATTCGTCCCAATATACAAGCTGTTTTGTATACACGATGGAGAAGATTTGTAGGTTAGGTCGATCTTATTAGCCCACTTCTTTGAGCTGGATGGCTTAGTTGTGAAGCTTTCAATGTTTTTCTAGAAAACGTCTCCAGGGCATACTGTGCATGCTGCAGTAGATCTTGGTTTTACCAGTTAATCAATCAATCTCCGAGCACTTATGAGCGAATAAAAGATGAACTGTTGTAGCTTCACACACAGATTAGTCAGAAAATTCAAAATCAAATCAAATAGTATTGTTAGAAACCTTTTCAGAGAAATAGAAGTTTATAGCTTTTTAATGATCGAATGCGGAAGCGTCAATGACAGGCTGCAGTTTGTCAAAATGTCTAATCCTTAGCTGAAAAATCAGACTGTGAAGCGTATTTATAAACTCCAGTAATTAATTAAGACTACAGGAAAAACGTTTTGAAGTAATATTCTGTGATACATTTTTCTACACTTATTCTTCAGGTGCGTCGGTAGCACAGCGGTTAGAACGCCCGCCGACCATGCACATGGTCCAGGGTTCGATCCCCGGCCACGGACGCACTCCTTTACCTCGCTAAGCCGGAAATAATGCTGGTAAAGAGGAAAGGTTGGGCATTAGGCTAGCAACCCCATCCTGTAAAAATAAACACTGCTACAGAAACATCAAGCCACTAGCTTGAAGCCCTATGTTCCACTGGGAACGTGAAGGAAAAAAATTCTTCAGATTATAATGCTCTTTAGGCGAAATCGACGCATCACAGAAACACAAAACACTTACATATAAAATCCTCTACAAGATACAGTATTCAATATTTAAACCAATAATCCTCATAGAAACATTAAACCAAAATTTCAGTGAAGAAAATTCTCCTTGCGATAATTTTATTTTTATATTTGTACAATAACATGTAAGTAGACGACGCTGAAGGATGTGTCAGAACCTGTTAACAAGATTCAACGAAGTTTACTAAAAGATAAACGAGTGTAGTTGTCATGTATGGCTGAAGCATCGGCTGTACAAAGCATTTAGCTAAAACTTTGCGTACGAAAACGATCTGTACTGTCTCCTGCATTACCGAAGACTTAATTTTATTATATGGTGCACTAAACTTGGTTATACGTATTTATTCCATTTCATTTCATTTTGTCTTGTCCTACTTCACTTTTCATTATCATAATCTAACATTTAATTTAATTTTTGCTCACAGTAGTTCACTGATCTTATTTTCCCATCTTATTTCACATTCGACCTTGCACATTCACCTTTTCCAAATGTACTAAATCTTTCTGTAAATATTAACCCCTTTACAAGGTTTGGCCTTTCTTGATTTATGCATATTTCTAATCCATATTGTGATTCATAATCACACTTCAGTATTACCACACATTGTCAGATTGTAACATGCATACAGAGCAAACATACTTGTTATTAGGCAGAGTGGAGGGAAGATATGTAACTCAGACCAGTGATTTTGATGTAGTTGTGTTCTCTAAGCTTATCGTTTTTTCCCACTTCATACATCGATATGTTTAGGCGGGAGGAGATATCTTATGAATTCGTGGTTTCCACATGGTCTGTAAACAGGGTATCCAACCTTAATCCACGTTAGAGGTCACGACATTAGTTCCTTATTTGCAATTCAGATAAATAACATCGTCGTTCCTTCATTTTTCTTATAACCTTTACCTAATGCTACCACCCCGATAATATTTACAGGTCACAAGGGTAAAAATACTAACCCATAATGTCTTCTATTCTAACAAGGTACGACTAAATAATTATGGAGATGAGATCGTGGCAAAGAGAGTTTCCAAATGTTGTTTTGTAGGGATTTTCACTGATCATAGGTCTGATCATGATTTGATGTCAGTTAGAGAACCACCGGTAAACCAATAGGGAGCACTGAACACCTGCTTTGTCCTAGTTTTGAGGTCTTCATCAGTACACGGCCACCTGAGTTCTGACTCAGGACCACTAAGCTACCAGGCGAGTTTGCAGACAATTCAGCCACTGACACCCGATTCAATGGCCCATGAATTATTAATGAAATCCTCCAACCAGTCAAATTAAAATCGCTACAAAAACCAATACTTAAAAATTAATCTGATGCTCACTAGTGACTGGCCATATTCAGGAAGTTAACCTGGGGTTCCGATGGGAAGTCGTGACCAGCAGGGGACAACAGGTCAAAGGTGAGAGCAGTTACTTATCGAAGAAGACATTTCGAAGTGGTCGCGCCAAGTCATGAACTGGCAGAAGTTAGAGTTGACGGAATGCCCAGTAGCTTAATGCTCTAAGAGCTGACTGGCCTTGTAACCGGAAGGTCTTAGGCTCGAACCCCGGTGGTGGGTGCGTATTTCTGAAGAGTCCTAAACTAGGAAGAAACGGCCGTTCAATACTACCAGGTGGTTTTCCAACAGCTCTCTAATTGATGTCAGCTCATGATGAAATCCTCCAACCGATCAAACAAACAAAATCCCTACAAAAACCAATATTTGTTATAAATATCACAATCGCCGGACACTGTTATCAGTGAGTAACTGCTCTCTTGCCTGACTTGATATACCTAGGTGGTCACGATTTTTCACTAGAATCGATGTAAAGGATGATAGGAAATAAGCAACATGAAAACACTAAGACGAATTAGGATATAAATATCAATTCCAAACTGTATTTAGTAAGGCTATGCATATTATAAACCTGATTAAATACAAAATTAACCAATGAAAAATGTAACAAGATAATATTAGGCAATTTAAAAACAGCAAATGTTGTTGGGAAAGTAAAAAACAAACTAAAATTTACCTTCCTAAGTATACGCCTATTGTATAATAGGTTCTAACATCTGCATTTTTTCGTAGAGTAACATTTTTAGTCAGCAGGAATGGATCTGTGTCTTGATCTTCTGAAAGAGGAAGAAAGAAATGTAAATTAATTAGATACAATCTGAAAAATGTGTGTGGTAATTTGTTAAATTTGATTTTGAAAATCCCTCGCATCCTCTCAACCTCTGCACTAATACTACTTCTACTACTATGGCAAAATGGGTAAATAATTAGATAACTTTACACATATCTCAATATCTAAGAAACAATGCAGATTTTGTTATGCACTAAGATCAATTAAAATGCTATTATTAAAAACTAAGGAAGACTGGAGATCCGTTTTACCCTAATTCAAGGATCTTCAGCTGTATCCGCCCAAGACCGAACCTATGACATTCATACGAGAAAATCAGTTCGTTAATTATTCCGCCTTTGGAATAGGATTGAATTCTAATCTCTAACTCTATGTGGAATATGAAATTTTCAGGCCACGAACAATACCAACTCGTTGATTACTCAATCGCTCACTATGTTGTAATTCGGTGACTCATGAATTGTAACTTTAGATCATATCATATCATATCAGAGAGTGTTGAAGGATTAATAAAATCATGAAAATCTAAACAATTGTGGATAGATTACTTCTTAACCTCAAGTTCCTATGGGTACGTCTTAGTTTCGTTCCCTTGATAACACAGTGAACATATCACAAATTAGTCACTTTGTGCGTCGGCCGCACAGTGGTTAGGACTCTCGCCGACCATGAACATGGTCTGGGGTTCCATCCCCAGCCGACTCACACCTGACTTCAATTGTTCGGTCTGCAAAATTTGGGCTACCGATATCACATGGTGAAAATTCCATACTTGTACCAAAAATACGGTGTGGAATCAAGCTATAATGAAAATGAATTAAATTAATTAAAAATTAAGGTAGACAATAACAAATAGTCTTGTTAGATTTTTGTGTGCGCTAAAGTTTGACAGTGAGTCCTAATTGTATACATTTCCTGAGCAGTGATAAGTAATTGTTATGTACTCGTCGCTAAATTATTGCTATGTACTGGTCGAGAATTTAATAGTCCTGACGCAAGAAGGCGGAAATCAGAAGACCACTAGGTTTGCGATGATACTTCTATTTTCCAAACACAAGGAGTGTGCAAAAGTGGTATCACACCAAAGTAAGTAAGTCACATAAATTGTGAGAGCGAAATATATATGAATGTCCAGACAAGGGTGTGAACAAATCACTAGACAGTCTTAACATGAATGGCTAATTATAATGGAGTGTCGATCCAAATATACATAGCAAAATATAGCAGACATGTCAACAACCACCATATATGGATATATGTCACCAAGCAACGGACTGTCAACAAACACTCATATTATATATAATATAATATAAGGGGAAGATTTGTACACTACATTTTTATTTGTTTTATATTTATTTATTCTATTATAGCTTGATTCCACACAGTATTTTAGTAAAAGTATGGAATTTTTAGCATGTGATATCGGTAGAACAAATTTAATGGGCCTGCCATTGATGTCATGTGTGCGTCAGTCCATGTGCATGATCGGCGATCGTCCTAACCACTATGCTGCCGACGCACATTGACATATGTTAAATGATCTAGTAAGGTAAAAGAAGTTGAAAAATAATTTAATAATTCCCACTGTAACATTAAGAACACAATATTCAGTGAACAGACTTTTTTTTTTATTTTTTTTTATTTTTTTATTTTTTTTATTTACAGCTTGATTCCACACTGTATTTTTGGTACAAGTATGGAATTTTCAGCATGGATATCGGTAGCCCAAATTTTGCAGGCCGACCATAGATATCAGGTGTGCGCCGGCGTGGGCTCGAACCCCGGACCATGTGCATGGTCGGCGAGAGTCCTAACCACTGTGCCACCGACGCAATGAATTTATTGTCAAGTTGTGCAATCATATATATATATGGTTTTGAGAAATTATATCCCTTGAAGAAATGTGGATACATGATACAATATTAGTATGAAATAATTAAATCGATCAGCAAGACGTTATGCGCCAGTCCTCACCAGTCACAAATTGTTCCCCGTCTCTGAAAAAGATAAGCTCCCTCGTCTGGCCGCCTGCATGTGCATCTATCAGTTCGCCTGCTCTTCTGAAACAAGGTACAATGGCCGTAGCCAGAGAACTCCACTTTTCACATGGAAACAAGAATATATCCCAGCATAGTTTTACAAGGAAGAAAGGAAGGGCGTGTGAAGCTGTATTCTAGAACACTTGATCGACTCTTGTCACTCCACGAACCCTGAACATGATTTTAATATCATCTGTCGAATCCATTGCTAACTTTTTACGTTTTCTTCGTTCTAAATTTCTAAAGACAGAGGAGGCTTGCGTCGTTTCGTGAATTTAAGCTAGATTTTTGTGTACAAAAGAAGTATGTACAATTCATACTTCTGCCTTGGTCATGGAGGGACAGACATTTATTTATTTTGTTTATTTAGTTAATCTATGTATCTTTCCCTCATTACTACCATTATTATTATTACTATTCTCACTTTGAACTATTTCTCCTTGTTCTACTTGTCACTCTAAATCCAAAAAATATTTTACAATGTCGAATTCTACCTTAGCAAATTTCACACCATGTTATGAAATGTTTTGTATTAGCCTAACAACCCAGTAATTATATACCCCTTCCCAACATTTACACATCTTATGAATTACTGTATATATGACATTAATTGTTTTGCCACTTGACATTTAACTATGAATATAATCCCAAGTTGAAAAATGTCAATGGCCCGGTTTCATTCCATCAACAAATTAATGAATCGATACTATAAATACTATTTCATTTAGTTAAGAACACATAAAGTAGTCAAAGAGGTCTCTTCCCGTAATTCTGCTTCAGCGCTGTATAGTTATTTATAAGGTTTATATATGGAATGTAGATTTATTTTTATTTCTGATTATGGCTTGATTTCATAGTGTATTTTTGCTCCAAGTATAGAATTTTCAGCATGTGATATCGGTAGCACAAATTTAGCAGGCCTATCAGGTTTGCACCGATCAGGGGCAAAACCCCGGTCCATGTGGATGGTCGGCGACCATTCTAACCGCTGTGCCACCGATGCACACAAGTGAAAAGTTATTTTCAACTGGCAACCAAGTAAATCAAAGTCTAGCAACTATGAAAAATGCAGAATAATCTTGCGTAATCAAGAAGGTTGACAATTAATTAGCTGAGTAATGGGTAATCAATCATCAAATGCTGATTTGTACAGATTTAACTGGTTACAAGTTTGAACACGAATTGGGTATGAGATCAGATACTCACCGATGACATTGGCTAGTGATGGCGATGTATGTGTCGTGAACAAGCAGAAGTTGGAATTCATGGGCTATTGGATCGGGTGACACTAGCTGAGTGGTCTACAAACTCTCCTTCTGGATTCGAGCCTCAGTGAACGCGTACTCCTGAAGACTCTCAGGCCAGAACAAAACACCTGTCTAGTACTCCTTGGTTTCCCAATAGTTTCCTAACTGGTGTCAGCTGGTGATAAAACGTGATCAATATCATTGTTTGAAACGAGAGAAAATAGGATTGAAAATGAGTCACAAAGCCATAAAGCAGACTAATTAGAAAGCAGTTGACCTTCTCTTTTTCACAACAGTACTGCTAGGTGTTCATGGGCTCATCTAGAGAATATCCTGCTAGTACAGTCTATGTGCTTAGCTTCACAGGAGTAAATGAACGGGTAAATTGTATTCTTTATATGGTTGTATCTATACAGTTGAAAATAGGCATTTATTGTTTGATGATTTAATGGTTCCAAACTCTCCAGGTAATGTCCCTTCGTAATCCTAAAAACTAATTTGTTTTGCACAGAAGCATCCTTTTTATCCTATACTAATGATTTTGGGTGTTTTGTGTACCGGTCAGTGACAATAAAATAAATAAGAAGGTTAGTTAGTAATTACCTGACACTATTTTCATCACATAAAGCACGTGCTGTTAAATATGGTATAGTGGATTTTTTATCCTTAGACGTACGTGCATAAAGTCTTGTGAAAAGACTTCTTGTTTTACTTGAGGAGATACAAGGTTGGAGCTGCGGGTAGAGTGGGTGCTCACAGTCTGACAGAATTCCTATAGCAGATTTGTTGCATGACATTAAGTGCCTATCAGTGACAATGTGAACGATATGGTCCAATGGGATACCACTCGTCCTACTGTCAGTCTTCAGGATTCTACGTAGTATGACATAGCGTTTTTTAAGCAATCCAAGAAAGAATAAAGGTGAACAGTAAGGAAGAATATGTAAAAGGCACCAGTTGACAAACTGTAAGAGGAGTGGTTGGGTTATGCCTGAGTGCCTTAACTTCTTAATGTAAAAGGTCAGACGAAATCTTCTTTTAGAAATCGCTAAGACATAGGAAGACCAGGATAGGTCAGAAGAAAGAATTTATCCAAGATACTTAACTTCAGACTTGGTTTCTATATCATTATCATCAATTTTGCAACGGTCATAGGAACCAACAGCTTCATTTAACTATTTGTATCGGTAACTGAAATTGACAGTTTGACATTTGGAAAGATTTAGTTTAAGGCCATTAGAAGAAGACTATTTACTGACTCCTGATAGAAAGCTGTTCATCTTAGTACAGTCAAGCTGGGAGTTAACAGACATTGAAATAGTTAGATCATCGGCGTACTTAACAAAGTTCACTTCATTAGAGTGAGGTAAGTCATGCAAGAAGAAAGAAAACAGAAAAGGAGAAAGGATAGCGCTATGATAGATAAAAGAGTATTCATACAAGAGTATAATTTATTTTGACCATGGCGTTGATATTCGCGAGAGTAATTTGTTCCCATTCTGCCTCATAATAACCAATAGTAATCATCGAAATAATCTTTTCATTGGACACTAATTGGTGTCATGTGTCTAGTCCTTTTTTTTTACTGCCAATCACCTCCAGCCATCTAATATCAACAATCCTCAGTGTACTGTGATGGCGAGTCACTTAGCAGTATCTAATACTGTCCAACAGTAGGTCAACAGTGAGCCCAGATAGCG